CAACATAGAGCCTTGTTTACGAAAATACATATATCGATTTAACAATAAAAAAAACAATATTATAAAATCACTAAAACTGCCTTTAATGTCATTTTTTTTCGAGTACTTGAATAAAAATATAACTACTGTAATTACTACGTTATTCAGTTTGTGGGTATTTCAGACAAGAAATTTTCATTAGTAGCCCGGAATAGCGTTGCCAACTATACGGATTTAGGACCCTTAGAATTACGGAATTTGAGTCGAAATCTACGGAATTCGATTTCGATGTTAATTATGTTTTTATGTACTTCACAGTCCTTTTACAATAATTAGATTTTTAAATACTTAACAAAAGAGACATTTTTTATCATGAGTATGAACATAACCGACAACCGACTATCGAAAATTTTAACATTCGAAGTTTTTTTGTATAACTTAATCCACAAATATTTAAGTGTTAATTATTTTATTTGTTTTTTACTAAAAATAAATTAGTTAAAAGAAAACAATTAATTTTGATAAATGTTATGGTACTTTTTTCTTATGTGTGCTTTTAGGTTATATGTGTATATGATGTTATACTACAATTTACCTTACAACAAGAATTTTACACGACAGGAAGAATTTCTCCAAAAAATTATCTATTCTAATATAACAAAAACAAAAATATTCGATCCTTTTAATAAGTCTGCAGAATTTACGGATATTTTGAAATTTTGCATCTATGGATTTGGAAAAATTCGAGCTGGTAACATTGGCCTGGAGTCAAGAAAACGGCGGTGCTACATCCCCGTGGATCGGAAAGCACGTGAAGCCAATGGCACCGAGAATCTGATCTCCCTCCAGTTGTGTCGGTTTACCGTCCCATCCGTGGACCATCCGTGGAGGAGCCGTGGTAGCTCAGATGGTTAGCGCTCGGTGTAAATTTCACTATACGCGAGCAAACCGGGTTCGATCCCCGCCGGCACCAATGAAATTGCTGATTTACCACGTGCTCGGCGGTGAAGGAAAACATCGTGAGGAAACCTGCATGTCTGAGAAATAAGAAAAAAAATATTTCGAAGACATGTGAAGTTCGCCAACACGCATTGGGGCAGCACGGCGGACTATTCCTTGCCCTAAAACCCTCTTAGAAATGAGAGGAGGCCTGTGCCCAGCAGTGGGACGTATATATATAGCATGTAACTTTACTTTTTTACTTTATTACCGTCCCATCGAACAATGAGTATGAATAGAGAGTGCACCTGTGCTTGCAAAAACATATGGGCACTATAATCCTGTATAATCCTGTGACCGAAATTCGGTCTGGAGGATATTAGTATAATTATTTTACAAAATAAAGGCAATGCTAAATATTTTTAGCTCGTGTTATTTACTCAATTAATTTGTACGAATATTTTAAAAATCACCGCGCGTCACGAAAGCACGCTGGTCATGTCTGTATAAATATTCTTCTGAAAAGGTTTTTATTTGAAGAACAAGGGTTACTGACGAATATACAGCCGACATGGTTGTAAGTGAATGAATGCTGTGGTCCATAGACATCTGTTTTTATTCATATAGTAGGCTCACTTACAAGCTCTCATGAATAGTGAAGGGAAAAAAATACATTTAAACAAATAACAATATAAATCAATGTCAATATATAAATATATATTATTAACTAGCTTTTTTGCCGTTTTAAGAGCCTAGAAGACTGCAATGCAGTGGACGATATGAATGACAAGCTCGTGGAAACTATCCATGCGGTCGGAGCTAATTTCTCTAAGACCCGTTGCAGAAGAACTCAAAAACTCTCCGATCACACTCTTAATCTCAAGGCTGTTAGACGGGAAATGAAGTTGGAGTCTTCAGCAGATGTGACAGCATATAGGCAACTGAACAGACAGATCTCCACATACATGCGGCGGGTTAAGCAACTTCAATACAGCTCGTACTGAAGAAGCGATCAAGCGAAACCAGGGCTCCAAAGTCTTTGCCAGAGATCTGTCTGCCAGAAAGAGCCAACTGTCGAACTGAAGATCGAGTGTGGCAGCATCGTTTCCGGGATACCTGAGATTTTGAGTGGGATTGAGCTGGGCTGTATATACATCATCGTTGGATCCACACGCAAGTGTATTACGATCCAATTATCTTCGCTACCCTTAAGAGCGTGTATACAAATATGCGCAAGTCGAAATCTACACGATCGCTCTAGAACGGCGTAATATAAACGCACACGTTCTGTAACGTGACTGCACGCGCGCTAACCAATTAGTACGAATCATTTCATATCACACATACGCGCAAAATACATACAGTTGCAGTTTTTTACGTGGTAGAGCCACGCTGCAGCTATATTATAGTTGTAGCACTTATAACTTGGCTCTACCGGGGCAGGACCACGCTCTCACAGAATACCAGCGTAAAATAGCAGAGAAATGCTGGTGTGTTTCGTATGGTGAGTGTAGAGAACCGGAGATTTTTTTGACTGGAAACAAGGCATTCCATCTTAGTCCTCAAGGGTGACAACACATCTGCATTTGGATCCTTAGTTGAGGATAAATATGGATGTTCATGGGCCACGGCATCTACTGACCGACCGGTGGACTATGTACCCGTTTTTCACTTCATGCTATAAAAAAGTCGAATCTAAAGAGAAAGAAATAATATCATTATAAAGTATCATTCATGGTGCTAGGTTGTTTTTCGTTCGCTTACACTACGATGTGCATCACGCGACTGCGAACGGCGGCGGGATAAATCAATATGTTCAATAGGCATGTCGATCTGAGATCGATTAATCAAAGAATCGATTTGTTGTGCCAAAAAAATCGATTTTTAATCGATATATAGTACTGAATCGATCTAGTGAATCAATATTTCACTTTAGAAAATCGAGATCAAATCTTTTTATGTTTTCATAAGAACTATGGAATTATTACAATTAGTTGAATGTACCCAAAATCGTAAAGAACGACAATTTTTCTATTCAAAAACTAGCAAAACTGCTGTGTGCTCAGTTTCTTTCGCCTGGATGGATTAAAGAAATAAAAAAAGTTACGTTTGTAATCTGTACTTTGTACAAATTTGAAAGCAAATCATATAATGATAGCTTTTTGAGAAATCGATCTTTTAGATCTTGATTTTTTTGTGAATCGATTCATCGGATTTGGATCCAAATCGATTAAAAATCGATCTTTTTTGGAAACAATCGACATCCCTAATGTCCAATTGGAAGGCAACCCGTAAAGCAATAATCGGCACTCGGCGTTTGCACGCGATGATTAATAGTATTTTTAAAATAATTGAATAAATAAAACGAACTAAAAAGGATATTAAACATTGCCTGAGTTTTAATAAAATAATTATAATAGGTATGTTTATGTTCAAATACAAAAAGTGACATTGAAGTGGGCAGTTTTAGTGATTTTATTGTATTGTTTTTCATATTAAATCGCAATATTTTCGTTCTATATATATTTCGTACTATATATAACTCTATCGTTATAATAACGCTTTATTTTGTCTCGAATTATTATAATAAATTAAAATAAAAAATACTTTATTTTAATTCAAATAATAAAAACTCATTATAATGGTAGTATGCAATCTGAACCTTTGACGCACTTTTTACTAAAACGCAATGGTGGGATTGTCTTCGCTCTAAAAATTATTAAAACGTATAATTTTGGTATGTAGTGCACCAAATAAAGAATTCGTCTTTCTAAAACCGTAATTTTCTGTAAATAATCCTCTCACATCGTTACGATATTGCCCTTGAAAAAACCCTTAAACATGAAGTTTTCGATGCTTATCGCGTGCACCCTCTTAATAATATATATAAAAAAACAAAACGTAACAAATACGAACATATGAAGAAATTAAAATTGCTTAATAGCCCTATTAACCCTTCAATCCCCATAAAAATCCCATGCAGTCGCATGCGCCCGGCAAATCCCGAGCGGTCGCACGCGACCGCACCCACCCACAACACTTTAAACCTTCATTCCCCATAAAATACCATGCAGTCGCATGCGCACAGCCACAGCACTTTAAACCATTAAAACTTATTTTTAGAGACTACTTTTCTATGAGGAAGTTTGGCATTATAAAATCTATACAAAATTCTCTATCCTATGGTCGAAATAAAAGTCGGGTTTTTCTCCATTACAAAAAAGACAATTGTATTCTGATAACAAGAAACGTGTATCAAGCGGATATCCGCAGCGTGAAAATCACTATCATATTTCTATATATATATATATATATATATATATTATAGGGAAAACATTTCTGTTTCTTAGCTCTTTGGCTAGTTCTGACTGCATACACGGGCCGAAGCCAAGTAAATGCAGCGTGTAGTGAGTATTTATGTAGGTAGGGTGTTATAGGTAGCTATTTCATTTTCTTCCAATTGCATGAATTTTCTTACAATTCGAAAGGTATTTAAAATTGCGGCTTTTTGGAGTATAATGTACGTTGAGTCTTTCAGGTCTATTAATTTGAGGCTATGGTGGAGATGGTTGGGTATGACACCCGTGGTGGAGACGACTATTGGTAATATATAAACTTTATTTTGTCTCCAAATTCTGGTCACTTCTTCTTTAAGCTCTGCATATTTGCTTATCTTTTCACCTATTGTTTTTTGTAAGTTATGTGTGTTGGGTATTGCAATATCTATTAGGTAGGTGATTTTACTTACTTTGTCCTGTAGTGTTATGTCTGGTCTATTATAGTGAATGGCTCTGTCGGTAAGTATGGAGCGGTCGTAGTAAAGTTTGTGTGTAGGATTTTCTAAAATAGTTTGTGGAGTGTATTTGTAGTAGGGCGTGTTTTTGTCTTGTATAAGTTTATGTTTCAGTGCTAGTTTTTGATGAATGATGTTTGCTACTTGGTTGTGTCTGTGAGTGAAGTCTGTATGTGTAAGAGTTGTACATGCCCCTGTTATATGTTGTATTGTCTCTGGTTGGGAGAAGCACTTGCGGTATTTATCGTTGGTTACTGTGGGGTCTTTAATGACATATTTCCTGTAGTTCTTAGTGTTTGATTTTGATTTTGATTGCGATGATAAACCTTTTAGTTTCCGGGAATAGGTTGCCAATTTTAAGCCATTTATTTGATGCTACTGTATCTACATGTGGTTGTTCCAGGTCATGTGGGTGTCGTCCGTGCAGGACTTTCTTTTTCCAGTCCTCTAATTTTTGTTTTTGTGGGTTATTAGTGTTATTGTGTTGTGTGTCTGTGTGTTCATTTAGGTTAAGTGGAGTGTAGTTAAAATCATTTAGGGTTACGGCTTTATGAATGTCACTAGTTCGAGATTTATTGTGAAAGAATGTTTTGAGGCTACTAATTTGTTTCTGCCAAAGGTGTTGAATGTCTATTAGACCTCTCCCTCCATTTTGTCGTTTGATTGTGAGTCTTTCTATTGCGGATTTAGGGTGCAAATTATTGTGTTTGGTAAGTGTGGTGCGTGTGGTTCTTTCTATTTGCTGTATGTCAGTTTTAGACCATTTAATCACTCCAAACGAGTAGGTTAATATTGGGATCGCGTACGTATTTAATGCTTTAATAAGATGTTTTCCAGCGAGATGTGTTTTGCATACTGCGTTTACTCTCCGTTTGTATTCTGTATTCAGTGTGTGTTTAATTGCTGTATGATCTAGTCCTTTGAGTTGTCTGTATCCTAAATATTTATATAGATCTGTCGGTTCCATAGCTGTGATTGTATCAGTAGTGTTAATTGTGTAGTCGCCTGGTTTTATTTTGCCTTTTATTATGTGTAGTGTTTTGCATTTATCTAGTCCAAACTGCATGTTGATGTTTTTACTGAATTCTGTTGTAGTATCTATTAATTTTTTCATTTCTTTTTCTGTTTTTGAGTATAGTTTAATGTCATCCATATATATGAGATGTGAGATAGTGATATCTTCTGCGGTGTTGTGTTTGAGTCTATATCCGGCTTGGCACTGATGCAGTAGGTGAGACAAGGGGTTCAGTGCGAGACAGAACCATAGAGGACTCAGGGAGTCACCTTGATAAATACCTTTCCTAATAAATATCTGTCGAGTTCTTACAATGTTGTCGTGGTAATTCAGTTGGAGTGTAGTTTTCCATCGGGACATGATATGATGTAAGAAGTTTATTATTTTTGGGTTTATTTTGTATATACGTAATACTTGAATTAACCAGGAGTGTGGAATACTATCAAAAGCTTTTTTGTAGTCTATGTAGGTACAATGAAGTGTTCTATTTTTTATAGATATTTATTAAAGATTCAAACATGCCACCACAAATGGTGGCATGTTTGAATCTTTAATTTTAATAAATTTAAATCTAAAATTAATAAAATTGAATCTATAATTAATTGTTCTTTGCACCCCATGTGGCCTCGTCTGCACCCTTTTTGTTCTTCCGCTATTATGTTGTGGCGTTCTATGTGTTTATTGATTTTAGCTGTGATTTCTGAGGTTAGGATCTTGTATATTGTTGGTAGGCAAGTAATTGGTCTGTATTGGGACGGTTGTGGGGAGTGTTGAGACTTCGGTAACATGTAAGTTATTCCTGTTGCAATAAATTCAGGTATATTTTGTTGTCCTAAGATTATGTCTGTTAAGTTTTTAGCGATAATTTTGTGTAATGAGTCTAGTTTTTTATACCAGTAATTATGTACTTTATCAATGCCAGGTGATTTCCAGTTGTGTAGTTTTGCTGTAATACTATTTATATCAGATTGAGATATCTCGACGAATTCCATTTCTTCTAGTGCGCTCCACTTAGATTCTTCATCTGCTATCCAACCAGCTTTATCATTATGCTGCACTTGCTCTTCCCATATGCTTGACCAGAATGTCTCCAATTGTTCTGACATTGGTAGTTCGGTGTTGGTGTCGGTTGTTACGTCTATTTGTGGTTTCTGTAAATTTCTGTAAAAGTTTTTTACGTTAGTAGCAAACATGGCGTTATCATTTTTGCGTTCTTGTGCCTTCTTGTATCTCCTCAGCCTATGGACTTTTAGCGCGAGCTTCTGTTTTAAAGTGTCTAAGAATTCTTCAGGTTTTCTATTGTCGTTTTCATGTCTCGTGTGCCTGGTCATGTTCTTAAATATTGCCTTGACTCTTTTGACTACTTTGTTAGATCTGTTATTGTTGATATATTGTGTTAGTCTACCGCAGTCAGCTCGTAATTTTTCTATATCTCTTTCGAGTCTCTGTTGCCATGATGATTTGTTTATAATTCTTGGTCTTGTGCTGTCTGTGTATTATGTTATTTTATAATTAAGTTCTTCAGAAATGACTAAAGCTGTGCAATGTATAAATGTGTGTACATCTACAAGTTGTGTGTCTTCGGATATATATTGGTTTAGTATGATACGATTAAAAAAATGTACTAGATGAGACAGTTTTGGGGTGTATTTAAGTTTGGGTAGTTTCGGACGAGCTGCTGGATCCATACCTGAATATTGAGTTAGAGCGGTTTTCAGTTTGTCGTGTATTTCTTGGATGTGCGTTTCTGATAACAGATTTTGATCGACATTTTCTAAAGTCTCAATATCGTTTTCTAGCATTATGGTTATGCTCTCGGTTTGTGTGTGTAGCGGCGCTGTCGTCGCCGCCACAAGTGAAAACACACCGAAGCCTAAATCGCGCTATCAACATTCCGAATCATAAACAGTATATATAGAACATCTCCGAATTATCACACGGAGTGTTGGCCGCTCCCCGGGCAGAACACCTTGCCCGGCGGGAGATCTCCCCTTTTCCTACCACGGCCACAGTGGTGACCCCGACGTGATCTTGAATACACGCAACCAACAACTTTCGGAAACTTCAAGCTTCATCATCGTCATTGAATACCCCACCGTATCGCTCCCGAGCAGATATCGTCTGCAGTCTTCATATTCTGCAAGCCATCTAGCTTCACAAGGTTCATCGCAGCACTGGAATAATAATGCTTCCTGTTCCTTCAAGCTACTCTCTGCGCCATACAGTGTTCGGCACGGCTCTGAGCCTTACTGCTCGCCTCTGCTTCACGGCACTCTCGCAGATTACTTGCCTTCTTCTCGACTCACCGCAGACTACAAGGCAATCCACTGGCACTTGCACATTCGTCGGCAACAAGGCTGCACTAACGACCTCCGGTCTGAGCAGGGGGTGATGTAGCGGCGCTGTCGTCGCCGCCACAAGTGAAAACACACCGAAGCCTAAATCGCGCTATCAACATTCCGAATCATAAACAGTATATATAGAACATTACCGAATTATCACACGGAGTGTTGGCCGCTCCCCGGGCAGAACACCTTGCCCGGCGGGAGATCTCCCCTTTTCCTACCACGGCCACATGTGGATGTGTACGATCTATGTATACTTTGTGAGTTTGCTTGTGATTGATTGTAAGATTGAGATTGTTTGTTACGTTGCATTTGAGAGGGTGATTGTGGTGGTACTTGTAGAGTAGTTTCTGATGGTGTATGTGTTTCTGCGATAGGATTTTGATTTAAATCTTCTAACTGTGCACGAACTTCTTCTTTTAGTTGATCTATTACTTTTTCAGATAAAAGTTTATTCCTTACTATTGTTCTTCTTTGATCGGAAATACGTTGTTCTGTTACACTAATTTCTGGGTATTGTCTTGTAAAACGTTCATGCAATTGCTGTTTTTATGTGGTCATGTCGGTCTCTAATTTGGTGATGTGAAAGTAGGTTCGCATGATAAATATGTTTACTTCCTTACTCCATCTCATGCGAACTCTTGGTTTCCCGGCCTTGGTGGATACGGGCAAGAAGGTATTTACCCCCCGCGCAACATTCGAGGTTGGCAAGGATGAATCTGTATGAGAACTAGTAATAGGGGGTGATAAAGATATGGAAGGTGACGATGGTATCGGTGGTGATAATGGTCTGGAAGGTGTGTATGAACTGGTGCTTGGGCTGATTGGTTCTAAAGGACTGTCTGTTCGGTCAGTCAGTCTGTCACCACCGTCACTGGTTTCGGCTGTAGCATCTTTGTCGGTGAGGGCCCGCCTGTTCAACTCCTCACCGCTGACGGTTCGCATGCTGAGACACCCAGCGCCTGCTCCAGGTGTGCCCCGGCGATCGCCCCCGAGCAGCGGTCCTACACATTTTCTTTTTGAACGGGTCTCCATGTTTAATGGGTTTCCAGAGCCACGTTAGCCACGCCAGTAATTTTTCAATCGTGTGTCCGCCCCCCACGTGATTCGATTTTCAATCAGGACGTGTGGTTGTTTAGGGGGCATATTATTATTATTTTGGGGTATCTACATAATTTTCTCACCTGGTTGGGTTCTATAAATATATAATTATAAATTAAGATGAAAAGATAAATGTACATAAATATCAATAAAATAAAATAAATACAAAAACTACATAAATAAATAAGATCCAACCAGATGGGAGCCCTCGGCAGGGGAGACCAAACGGCCGAGGGTTAGGGGGAAAGGGAAAGAAACCGGCGGACGATGCGGGCGGTATCGAGGAGCACCGCCTTCTGCATTAGAGCCCGGAGCGGTCCGTCACGGAGTCCCAGTCGCCTCAGTTGACCCGAGAGGCTGACTGGGATTAGCCCATTCGCAGAGACGACTACAGGAATAATTTCGGTCGGCATAATACCCCACATGTCGGTCACCTCGTGAGCCAGGTCCAGATATTTTTTTCGTTTATCTGTTTCGGCTTTCACGAGGTTCTCGTCATACGGAATGGTAATGTCGATCAAAAATATCCTTGACTGTGCCCGGTCCATCAGCACAATATCAGGCTTATTCGCAAGAATAGTCCTATCTATGATGATGGCCCGGTCCCAGTAGAGCCTGGCGCGGTCATTTTCGAGCACGGCTTCCGGCAAGTACTTGTAATACGGCAATTTTCGGTCCACGAGACCGTATTTCAGAGCGAGCTCCTGGTGTAGAATTTTTGCTACTAGGTTGTGCCTGTGCAAGTACTCAGAGTTAGAAAGCGCCGAACAACCGGAGATGATATGCCTAAGTGACTCCCCGGGATGGCGACAAGCTCGACAGACATCGAAAGTGCCATCCTTTAGGATGTATCTCCGATAGTTGTTGTTCTTAATAACCTGATCCTGTATTGCACAGACAAAACCCTCGGTTTCCCCGAAAAGTTCACTGAAACGTAGCCAGTTGAGGGAGGCGGCTGTATCTACGTGAGGCTCATGTAGAGCCCTGTAGTACCTCCCATGGAGCTCCTTCTCCTTCCATACGGTCTCCCGGTCGGAAATGCTTTGTACTGCCGGGTCTTGCCATTGCTCGTTGGCTAAGGATAGAGGGGTAAGTCCTTTATCACTAGAAATAATGATCTCGCCAGGAAGTAATGACAGAGGCTGCACACTTCGCGATTATGCATGGTGAGCGCGCTCAGGAAGCCACGCCCACCATGCTTTCGCGGCAAGTACAGCCTCATTACCGACGATCTCGGATGATGCATCCTATGGGACGTCATTGTAGTGCGGACTTTTCTATCCAGAGCGTTAAGTTCAGTCTGACTCCACCTGAGTATGCCAAAGGTATACATGAGGACAGGCATGACCCAACCGTTATATGCATGTGTCTTATTCACACCGGACAAAAGGCTGTTAAGCACTTTGGTCAAGCGCGCATAAAACACGTCGCAAACTGACTGTTTCATACCAGCCTCATCGATACCGATGTTCTGTGACATACCCAGGTATCGGTATGTTTCAGCCTCGGAAAGGGCCCTTAAGTTGACGGGCATAGATAAGTCTATGCCCTCAGAGTTAGCGACCCTTCCCCTTCCAACATGGAGGACCGCACACTTATCCGTCCCCAGCTCCATTGTAATAGAATTGCTAAATTCACAAGTGATGTTTAGCA